GTAGGTGGGNGGGGGGGGGGGGATGTATTGAAATTCTGTATTTTTAAACCTTCAATGGTGGATGTATTTTCCTGCCTTTTCAGCCATGCGCGCTTTACCCCAATTTAGTGGTGTTGTGCAGTACCCAAACAAGAACAAGAACAGAGGCAAATCTGACACAACATTGGTACATAGGAAATGCTCGAGACCTTTGGTAGGAAATGCTACGAGAACAAGGTCCTAGCCCTCCACAGAGCCCTCTACATGTGACAGAATATCCCTGAAGTTCGTCCAAGGAGCGCTATAGCGAATGACCATCTTCGAGTGACCGCGAGAGTCTTGTGCCCATCGCAGCATGGAATGCTCTGTTTGCAATGATTTGCCAAGGGTTCTGGGAACGGGTGGGGCTGTTCTATGGTATTCATGTACGTGTCTAGCGTGAATGCTGAAGCCACAAGCGGACGCGAGGGCTATCTGAGTCACGTTTGACTACGAAGCCTTCAGGGTTTAGGCGTAACGAAGAATTATTCATTAACGCTTAACGCTAAATTTAGGATGACAAAAAACGCTCTACGTAGAAATAAAACGACCAAAAACGCTTCACGATGAATATACTAATAACGCTTAACGTTGAATTAGAGCGAGCCAGCAACGATTAACGATGAATTAAAATAGCCCATAAAAAGGCATGCAGGCCCTCAGGGTCTGCAGGGGAGGTCCTGGCAATGGTTAACGGTAAATTCAGCAGGTCGGCAACGGTTAACGGTAAATTCAGGATGGTCGGCAACGGTTAACGGTAAATTGACAGGCATTTTTCTTCGAGCTTCACTAGATTTGGTATCTGAATTTGTGAGAAAACGTGATCGCTGACAAAAATTTATATGTATTGAAGCAGGCATTAAAGGTACTTCACACTAGTGCTCCCTGTGTTCCCAGCCGTCGCAAACAGCAACAAGAGAGACGGCTTTTTGATCGAGCTTGAGACTCCTCATTATATTTCTGAAACGAATCATATCTAATTCGAAATGATAAATTATTAATCGTGATGCACTCTATGATATTACTATTGTCGCCGACGTTACCTTAAAACGTGACATTAAAGGCATCAAATTCGATTTCAGGGCGGCAAATAAAAAGAAAAAAACTCAGGATGAGGACACCTGTCTGATATTGACATTTATTGTCATTTTTGAGCACATTTTCGTCATCATTTCAAATTCTAAGCATTTGAAATAGCCCAAAAACAAGCTACGTGAGGCGCCTCTTATTTAGGGGTAACGCCCATGAATACAATGGAGCTGTCACCAACAGCGACAGCCTACGGTACAAAACAAGCACATCGCATCTTTACCCCAGAGATATCAATGTACTTTGGGATAGGATTCAACTCACTACATAAAAAGAGTTACCAGAAAATTGGCTTTGAAAATCCAGTTTTGACACCCAGAAATACCTTTTAGTTGTGGTCCACTGTTCTTTTTGCCTGTCGAAAAGAGCTAGCTAGTGCCTGTGCAGTGAATCTGTAAATTTTGTACATGGCGTCTGTAGTACCTATCAAGACCAGTGGAATACTAAGTAGTAGCTTTTAAGTCAGTTAAAACTGAATTGCGATCACTTTCATTTTCTAACTTTATCAAGCAGTACCGTTCGAATTGTCAAATGACGCTCTACGCAAAAAATTACGCTCTACGTAGAAATAAAATAGCCCATAACGCTTAACGAAAAAAGGCATGCAGGTCCCCCATTTAAAAACATATACGTCTGACTTACAGTTAGATGTGCAAGAGTAAGTAGTCACAGACACTGGCAGTTTTGTGGCTTGAAAGAGGTTACCGCATCCACCGTGACTGACCTAACGTTTAGAACCGTCCCTTTATATACTCCTGGTGACTTCCGGCGTCACGTGAACACCGTAAGCGGCCGTACCAAGGTGTGCTGGGGAGTGGGCGACAACAACAACGCCCATGGTGATGACGTCACGACGATATTAAAAGTTGCTCAGCTCAGCATGGGGTAACAAGAATTCGGAGATCTCATACCTCTCTTTTTACCTCCATGATGAAATATATGAGTTTTTACCTCCATGAAAAATGGAGGTATTGTTTTTGGCGCGCCTCTCTCTCTCTGTGTGTGTGTGTGTGTGTGTGTGTGTGTGTGTATGTGTGTGTTTCCGCACATTTGTGTTCAGCATAACTTCAGAACGCCTGTATGGATTGTAATGATATTTGGTATGCTGGTAGGTCTTAGGAAGCCAAAGGTCAAGTTTAAATATGGGCCTCCTGGTGGCTGACATTGGTACTGTAGCAGAATTTCCGGTTTATGTATCTTTTGTATCAGGGAAAACAGATGTGCGGGATGGAGGCAGCGGCGCCTGCCCGGTTTGATTAATGAGGTTCTCCCTCAGGAATAGACCGGATGTTGACTATATCTATTACAGCCTATATAGCTATTTCAGGCCAAAGGTGCTACTGTGTGTTTGAAAACAAAAACCTGTATTATTACCTCCATGAAAAATGGAGGTATGGTTGTTGGCGTGTCTGTGTGTCTGTGCGTGTGTGTCTGTGCGTGTGTATCTGTGTGTGTGTGTTTGTGTTTGTGTTTCCGCACATTTGTAGTCTTGCGGCATTTGGAAGACAAGTGAACATAAACATCATCAAACATAAATTACTCCAATCAGGACCTCGTTTGCATAATTCATCAGGAAACGAGCTAGTAAATTGACTTTCCTGCGTGTGGGAGGTGTTCAGCACCAAGGACAGGTTTGCCTGTCTGTGGAAGGTGTTCAACACCAATAACAGGTGTGTTTGCCTATGTGTGGATGGTGTTCAACACCAATAACAGGTGTGTTTGCCTGTGTGTGGAAGGTGTTCAGCACCAAGGACAGGTTTGCTTGTGAATATGTGTGGAAGGTGTTCAGCACCAAGGTCGAGTTTGTTTGTGGGTGGATGGTGTTCAGCACCAAGGACAGGTTTGTTTGTGGGTGGATGGTGTTCAGCACCAATAACAGGTGTGTTTGCCTGTGTGTGGAAGGTGTTCAGCACCAAGGACAGGTTTGCTTGTGAATATGTGTGGAAGGTGTTCAGCACCAAGGTCGAGTTTGTTTGTGGGTGGATGGTGTTCAGCACCAATAACAGGTGTGTTTGCCTGTGTGTGGAAGGTGTTCAGCACCAAGGACAGGTTTGTTTGTGGGTGGATGGTGTTCAGCACCAATAACATGTGTGTTTGCCTGTGTGTGGATGGTGTTCAGCACCAAGGACAGGTTTGTTTGTGGGTGGATGGTGTTCAGCACCAATAACAGGTGTGTTTGCCTGTGTGTGGATGGTGTTCAGCACCAAGAACAGGTGTGTTTGCCTGTGTGTGGAAGGTGTTCAGCACCAAGAACAGGTTTGTGGGTGGATGGTGTTCAGCACCAAGGAAAGGTTTGCCTGTGTGTGGAAGGTGTTTATTCTACCACGGAATAAACCGCGAAAATAAATTAATTGGGCAATAGTGTTATGTTTCATACTGTGACCACATAACAGCTTATTCTTGAAATTGTTTATTTGTGATGATAGAAATACTAATTTAAAGGTGCCCTGTAGCTGCATTATTACCCTTTTTTACCGAGATTGACATCAACGTTAGTATCCTTCGTATTTAGATAATCTAATCGTCCTTCTTCGACACATATAAGTGCCTGGCACCGAAACGGCGCCATCATTGGTCGTCATAATTAGATTATCAACTTGACCTTAATTATGCACAGCCGTTCTGCACACCTGTGTAAAAACATGTTTGGTACGTTCCGTTCAAAATGGCGATTTCGTACGACGGGAATACTCTGGGCTGATTTTTTCACAACTTTCTGGGTACTCACGTTTTCGTCGATAGAATGTCTTAGTAAGTGTGCAGCAAAATGTCTGGGAGTTTGTGCTGTGGATTTGTGCCGTTTTGGTGATGTTTTGAGGAGAAAATGCGGATTTCCTGACCTGGCGAATTTTGGAGAAGACAAAAATGGCGAGACAGTTGGGAAGCGTAACGTTAGCGTGGTATGGAGACGACTTATTGATGCAGGTAAACCAGTACATTGTTTGGCTGACATTATTCCTTAGCAACTAGTACGAACATGTCAACATATTCCGTAAGAAATGAACTATTTCTGTATTAGGTAGCGACCTTTCCTAATTGTAGATAGGCTTAGAAAAGTCCATTTCGAAGTTGCCGCGTTTTCAACAACATTTTCAATGTGTGGTGCGCTTGTAGAGTGTTAAATGTATGATTGTGCATGTCTTTTTAGTCAGTTGTTTAGCGTTTTGAGGTTATATTTGTCGAAAGAAATTCTGCATTGACCAAACCATTTCTGTCTTTATCTCCACGTGGTTCAAAACACCTGTTGGAATGTGGCCGTGTACATAATTAACGTTAGTTATTTTTCCCGCCAAAACTTTGCGTATATAAGATGGGGGCCTTGCAAAGCTTCAGGGCGCCGAAATGAATACGATACAAAACGGTTGAAAACTAGTTAAGTTGAGTTGACCGTACTTTGAAATTCGTTCTTCATTATCATTTGCAATGTATCATTTATAATTTAAAAGCTTGTTCGTTTCCTTTTCAAAATAGTTATGACCAAGCCCAAGTATTTATTGCGCAAACACTACAGATGACTGTGCTTGAAGGTAGCAGTTTCTGTTTTCAAAATATTTTGCGCCACGTTTTTCATATTCCACATAAAGTTTTAGTTGAAGTGGGTTGATTTATTTTATTGTTTTTTCTATCCCCGTTTTTATGGTCATCATGTAGAGTTTTCGTCGATGTGTTTCGTATGTGGTTGTTTTAAAGTAAAGATTTTAATTTGAGACAAGTGTCCAACTTATAATGTATGTATTGTTAGATGATGGCTGATGCAGTAGTGAGAACTTCTGTCTGAACCTGACCAGATGATTTGAAGACTGAAGAGGAATATCAGGTAAGAAAAATCCCAATTAT